TTTCAAACCTAAAATCTAACTTTGTAAACTAGAATTTACTATTTAAAGATATCTAAGTCAATCTTGAAACTTCTCTTTAAATGAAACAAATTTTGTCAGGTATCAATTACACCTAAACAAAAAAGATTTGTAATGACTCTTTTAATCTATATCTAGTGATAGATATATGGATTTATATGTTATTACATATCTTATACAAAATAAATAAAGGAAAAGGTAAAAATAATTCAAGAAAATTTTGATTTTTATATATTTCAAATATATTTTATAAAATATTATAATTTAAAGTATGTTTTAATTTTTATTATGATATGATTTATCAATAAAATAATATTTTTAATAGAAAGTAGATTTTTTTAATAATTAAAATTAAGTTGAAAATTTGAAAATAATTTTGTTAAAATTACATATCATTTTAAAAATTTAAGTAAAAATTTTTATATCGATTTAAAAAATTAAATAAAACTCCATATAATGTTAAAATATTATGCAAAAATTTTCAGATCATTTTTCAAAATTAAAATACATTTATTAATCTATTCTAAAATATAAAAACTTTATATTCATATAAAATCAAAAATATAATTTAAAACATTTTTTTATAAAATGTATTTTATAAAATATATTTAAAAAGGAAAAATAAAAAATATTTAATATATTAAAAATAAATTTTTTGGATAGAAAGTAATATGTTTTATTATGACTTACGAGCAAAATAATATTTTAGTAAAATTTGTTTTTTTTTTAAAATGTACTAAAAAGGTATTTGAAAATTTTAACTTAATTTTAAGTTTTGAATAGTTATTTTCTTTTTAAAACAAAAATCTATCTAATGAGTTATATTATAAAAAAAATGTGCAAATATAATTTTAAATTAGGATTTTTTTATAAGTTATGTATGAAATATATAAAATTTTGAGATAATTTCATCTTTGATCTCTAAACTTTGAGAGAATTTTATTTTGGTATTTTATTTGCCTCATGAGCTAATTGACGTCATCATATAATACCAGCTGATATTTGTTGTCAATTTAAATAGTTCTATAGACAAAAAAACCAAAATAAAACAACTTCGGATAATTATGGATTCAATTAAAATTTTTTAAATTTTAGAGATTAAAATAAAATTTAAATCAAAATTTAAGAACTACAAGTGCTATTAACCTTTAATAAATTAATTAGTTTGATTTATTTATTAATTTTTATATAAAATGTAAATTTTGATTATAATTGTAACTTTTATTTTTAATTGTAATTTCATAAATATATATATATATATATATATATATTACTACTCTATCACATCGAGCAATGAACATTCCCATTTAAATAAGAAATTAAGACTAAGGGCTACGACATACAAAGCCACTCGTGGGATGATGTGAGTGATCAAGACCTCCTTAAATTGCTTATTGTTGATCCACTCGAACTTGTTTCAATCTTTTTGGTGAAATTTCATTTTATTTTTATGTTTTTTACAAAAAAAAAAATGTAAAAGAGATAGAAGATAGAATTATAAATACTAAAATTTAAATCTTAAACTTATTAAATATCATCTTATAAAAAAAAATTGCGAAAATCAAATTAAACTTTAGATTCAATTATAAATACTAAAATTTAAATCTTAAACTTATTAAATATCATCTTATAAAAAAAAATTGCGAAAATCAAATTAAACTTTAGATTCAATTTTACATGAACTTTGGCTCTAATAAGCAATTACATTAGAAATGATTGCCACGACTTCCACACTATAGCAAGAAAGTGCAAAACAATGGCATCCATCCATGGTCCTACACAATTTAATCTCCAGGTTTTGACAAGTCGTAATTCCAAGCAGATTCCGCCGTGCAACCAATATCATTTTTTTTTTTGGTAAATACTAAAAGTGTTGGAAAAAAAAATTGACCAAATAGCTAGGCAATGAATTTTCATGGACCAAATCATGGAATCCTCTTGCCTTTTTGTATCTTCAATCATCCACTGGTCTCATTCCAATCATCTTGTCTTGGTTATCACTTTAATCTTTATTCGATCAATAAACTTCACTATTACAAAATATAATATCTTTGCATTTATTGGTTAGTACGCAATCATTTTCTCTTTAAAATATTTTATTCTAATCTTTATTCCATAAATATGAATATAATTCTTCTTAGATTGTGTGAATCATGTTGAATATAGTTATATTTTTTGTTTTTATTTTAAGATGTAATTAATTAAAAAATTGCATACATACCTCGAGTTGATATGTATATTGCTGAACATATTCGATAAAAATAAAACTAATTGATATACTAAACTTGACAAGTTTTTTCATGAAGTAGGCTATAATATGAGAATAGAAGTTCGAGTAAATTACCTTTTAAATATAATATATAAATCAGTTGAATTGTTCTGTGAGTGAAAAAGTATTATTATCTTTCCAGCCAAAACGAAAAAACCTATAGTGATTCATTCTAAACAAATTACAAGCACAACCAAAAGAGAATCAGAGTGAGTAGAAGAAAACACGAAAAAAATTTTTTTTTTGTTAAGCGGTATAAAATTTTTGGATTTTTCCAGAGTATAATTTTTTTTTGATCGATCCGCATTATTTCATGAATTTGGTCTTGACTATCACTGTTTCAAAAAGATAAAGCATATAAATTTATATGCCAAACTTGTTATTTTAATAAAGTATAAAGAAGATTGGATCAATCTAAAGTTAAAGCTAGCTACTATCTTCGGGGTAGTGTAAGGCATAAATTCTGCAGCTCGGGTACCCAAATATAGCCATGTAAAAACAGAGAAACCGAACTCACCATTTCTTCTATCCTTTCTTCCTTTGTTTCCACGGGCAACTCCAGCCAAATTTCCTTCAACGGTCGTTGTGTTACCTCCTTTGAACCGTTAAGCTAGCTGGTAGAATTTTATGGCGGGCGACGAGGGGAGAATTCTTATTATTGAGATAGAGAAATCGGATTTCATGAAAGAACAGAGGATGAAATTAAAATCAGCATCGCTTGAATTACAAAACCAGGGAGGAGGTGTATCTCAAGTAGCCAAACCGCTAATACAAAGAGTTACACCTCGCCTAGTTGGCGTTATCAAGGAGGACTATAAGAAATATTTTGAACCGAGGATGGTAGCCTTCGCCCTTTGCATCATGGCAACCCAAAGTTAGATCGAGGAGAGCGAATGAAACATTTATTGGCAGCTTTCTTCTTAAAGGAGAACAAAACGACTGACGATGCTCTATTCCACAAGATTAAGGAAGAGATAGAGGCTCTTAGGAAATATTATAATCCGGAGGACATAAATTACTACGATGATGACGAGCTATCTTGGATATTCTTCGTGGACGGTTGTGCAGTGCTGTATACCGTATATTACGCTGATCCCGGTGAGTTTGATAAGTCATTCCCTTCAGATATGCTAGATCTCATGACATTTGCCAAATTTGATTTATTCTTGCTAGAAAACCAACTTCCTTACAGAGTCCTCAAGATATTGATTGGCTCAACCATAGATCCCACATGGTGGGAACTATCAATCAAAATTTCATAAATGCTAACCTTATGACAAATATATCTGGTGCGAGGAAGATCCTACAGCTGGACAAAAAAGAAGCAGAAAGGCAAGATTACGCGTACCTTCTGGACAGGTTGAGGACAGAATTACTGACAGGAATGGTAAAACAAGTAAGCTGGGGCGTGATTGGTAAGTTTCTTCTTTGGTGCGGAAACAAGGCAAAAAATAGAAGGCGATTTCTGAGCATCATGGATCTTAAAGAATCAGGAATTCAAGTGAGCCCCAACATGACATGCAACCTTCAAAATATTTCCTTCCATTGCAACATTCAGGGAAGCCTAAAGATGCCACGCCTCGTGGTGAATGAGTCAACAGCCTCCAAGTTCATGAACTTGGTAGCTTTAGAAATGTGTCCAGATTTTGATGATGCTGATGCTGTCACCGCTTACGTATGCTTCATTTCTTCTCTCATTCAAAAACCAGAAGATGTTAAGGAGATGCGGGCTGCAGGTATCCTTCACAAAGACTTGGGCAGTGATGAAGAAGTAGTTGATCTTTTCAGAGGGATGAGCAGGAACTTGGAGCCAAGTACATTCTTGTATTATGATGTTAAAAAAAACATCCAAAGTTATTGCAACTCGTGGTTAATACGTATCTCTTCCGATTATTATAGTAGAAGATGGAGAATTCTTGGTTTTTGGGCCGCCATAGCAGGATTTCTTTTCACTTTTATTCAGACTTATTTCACCATCATTCAAGGAAGTAAACATCACTAGTATTTAATTAGTTGGTATGCGTGTTCAAATTCAATTATAGAATTATGTACTCAGAAAAATGTATGCTTTCCTCATTTCAAAATGTTTGAAAATTTGTTTTTACAGCACTCTTTAACTTTGTTATGGCAGATTGGTATGGATTTGATTTGATGTTTGATTGGATAAATATATGGTTAAGGTTTGCTTTAATTTATTTTTACTCTGTCTTTTTATTTACTTTTATTGCTTCTTTAAAAGTTCTTAAAAAAAAAAATTAAATATAGAATAGAAAGTCAAAATATAATAATTGATTAAAATGAGTAAAGAAACTATAATGTGATGCCAACTTTACCATAAACTTTATATAAAATAATTAAATTTGTTCATTATGCTCTTCAAAAGAATAATTCATTTAACAACTAAAATTGAGTACTCTTATAAAACAAATTTAATCTAACCTATCATTTATCATATAGATAAATTAAGTTAATAATATTAAATTTTAAATTAAAATAATACATTAAAAATTTATGATACAAATTGTATTATTTTATTTTTTACATAGCGATTTGTATATTCAAAATTTTATGTACGTCAATATAATTATAAGGTGTCAAATTCACATGCAATGCCAAATCATAAAATATCGATTGGATGTGAAATTGTCTAATCGAACTAGAAGGGTAAAAGTGGAAATTTGCTAGGGGATTGGAAGGGATAACAGTAAGAAAAAGCAGAAAGAAAACGAAATGAAAACCTAAAGCATTTATCAAAATTTACTTACAGAAGGTTTCTGGAAATCTCCCATCCTTTCCTTTGAACATCTCCCCTCCTGCAATTGACCAAGCGAAATCCTCTTTTCTTTCTTTGAAGAAAGCCATGAACAACAACAACAATCCTCCAAAACCCCTGTTTTTAACCAAAGCCCAACGCGAGCAATTAGCCCTCCAACGCCTCGAAGAGCAACGCGCCCAACAGAAACGCCGCCTCGAAGACCTCCACCGCTCTCACAACAGCACCACCAACAATGACTCCGATTCGCCTTCTACTAAACCCTCCTACGATTCTTCTGACCGCCGCGACCGCGAAAGACAGCGGGAGAGAGACCGGGAATCCGAGCGAAGAAATCGGGAACGTGAAAGGGAGCGTGAGCGGGAGGAGGAAGCCAAGTCTCGAGAGCGAGCGAGGTTGGAGAAGTTGGCGGAGAGGGAAAGGGAAAAAGAATTGGATGCGATCAAAGAGCAGTACCTAGGATCGAAAAAGCCTAAAAAGAGGGTTATTAAACCTAGCGAGAAATTTAGGTTTTCTTTCGATTGGGAAAACACGGAAGATACTTCGAGAGACATGAATTCTTTGTACCAAAACCCTCACGAGGCTCAGCTTCTGTTCGGACGAGGGTTTAGGGCTGGAATGGATCGAAGGGAGCAGAAGAAGCTAGCGGCGAAGAATGAGAAGGAGATGAGAGAAGAAATTAGGAGAAAAGAAGGGGTTGAAGAGAAACCAGAGGAAGCCGCGGCACAGAGGTTAAAAGAAGAAGCAGCGAATACTTATGATACATTCGATATGAGAGTCGATAAGCATTGGTCTGAAAAGAAGCTCGATGAAATGACTGAAAGAGATTGGAGGATTTTTAGGGAAGATTTTAATATTTCCTATAAAGGGTCGAAGATTCCACGGCCAATGAGGAGTTGGACTGAGAGTAAATTGAGTGCGGAGTTGTTGAAAGCTGTGGAGAGAGTTGGGTATAAGAAGCCTTCCCCTATACAAATGGCTGCCATTCCTTTGGGATTGCAGCAAAGAGATGTGATTGGGATTGCAGAGACAGGGTCAGGTAAGACTGCTGCTTTCGTTCTGCCTATGCTGTCTTATATATCTAGATTACCTCCTATGAGTGAAGAGAATGAAGCTGAAGGACCTTATGCTGTTGTCATGGCCCCAACTCGTGAACTTGCTCAGCAAATTGAGGATGAAACTATGAAGTTTGCACATTATTTGGGCATTAAAGTTGTTTCAATTGTAGGTGGTCAGTCAATAGAGGAACAAGGGTTTAGGATTAGACAAGGGTGTGAGGTTGTTATTGCTACGCCTGGTCGTCTGCTGGATTGTTTAGAGAGGCGGTATGCTGTGTTGAACCAGTGTAATTATGTGGTTCTTGATGAGGCTGATAGGATGATAGATATGGGTTTTGAGCCGCAAGTTGTGGGTGTACTGGATGCTATGCCATCTAGTAATTTGAAACCGGAGAATGAAGATGAGGAGCTCGATGAGAAAAGGATTTATCGTACAACTTATATGTTTAGTGCTACCATGCCTCCAGCTGTGGAGCGGCTAGCTAGGAAGTATTTGAGGAATCCTGTTGTGGTCACCATTGGTACTGCTGGAAAGGCTACTGATTTAATTTCACAACACGTGATGATGATGAAGGAATCAGAGAAGTTTATGAGATTGCAGAAGTTACTTGATGATCTCGGGGATAAGACGGCAATTGTGTTTGTCAATACTAAGAAGAATGCTGATACTATTTCCAAGAATCTGGATAAGGCTGGTTATAAAGTAACAACTTTGCATGGTGGAAGGTCGCAGGAGCAGAGGGAAATTAGCCTTGAGGGTTTTAGGGCCAAGAGATACAATGTCCTTGTTGCTACTGATGTTGCAGGACGTGGAATTGATATTCCTGACGTGGCTCATGTAATTAACTATGATATGCCTGGTAATATTGAAATGTACACACATCGTATTGGAAGAACTGGGCGTGCAGGGAAGACTGGTGTGGCCACAACATTTTTAACTCTCCATGACACTGATGTTTTCTTTGATCTCAAGCAGATGCTTGTTCAAAGCGGCAGCCCTGTTCCTCATGAGCTGGCAAAGCATGAAGCGTCTAAGTTCAAACCAGGAACGATTCCTGATAGGCCTCCTAGACGCAATGACACTGTTTTTGCTCATTGAGAAACGCAGGTTTTTATTGGCACATAAAAATTGAAGATCCAATCTGCATATCTGTACTATGATATTTTAGTTGCCAAAGTGTTGAACATTGCTGCAGACAAGTAATTGCATTTGCGCTACAATTGTAGAATTTGAAAGTGGTAATTGCTTTCTTTACTTTAATTGCTGTTGTATTGCTGCTACCATGCCAATTAGTCACTAGAAGAGTATTACTTGGTAATGGGAAGAAAGTTAACATTTTGAAATATTTTTATTTTGAGGTCACTGAATACTGTTTTATATCTTCTTTGGGATGGTAATGTTTATAACTGCTGTAATGGTTTGTGGCTTGTTTGTCTTTATTATGTTTGCAAACATTTAATTTTGATATTTGGCTTGGATGGATATTTGGGAGGAAAAAACCATGTGATCAAAGAATAATGCACAAAGAAGAAGAAATATCCTCTCTATACATATTATAGTTATACATATATATATATATATATATATATATATGCTTTTGACATATTAAATAAAGCTTGACAAAATTATTACCTCCGTAGAAGTTGAGGTATACCTCAACATTGATTATACTTGTGACATATTAAGTAAAGATTGACAATATTACCACTTATATAGAAGTTGAGGTATTCCTCAACAGCTTGGATGTAACTTATTTAGGTAACAAATTGGAGGTTGGATGTTTGGGAGAGTCAAGATGCTTATTTTTATCTTTGAAGATTATATTGGCATGGAACATGAGGCTTTACTTCTTGATTGGATATTAGCATTCAAGAACTTCCATGCAATGTCAGTAGTTTTAAAAGTTAGAAGCTTTCCTGAAAGGACGTGGTATTGTGATAGTTGACTGTAGCCTTTCTATTGAAATTATCCTTGAAAGGAAAACCAGAAACCTAGTGTCCTAGGAACAAAAAGCTGTGTCTTAGGAATTGCTTTAGTTCAAGGTTCTTTCCCTTATTCTTCTTTGATTATTGTAGCTGAAATGTGTGTTTTGAGAGTGAATCTTCATTTTCCAAACCAAATATTGGTTGGATCATTGTATGGATGGATCATCTGAATATGAACGGTCTGCATCTTGTTAGTTGTTTTAAATGACATTTTTTAGGTTACTAGGACTGAACTTGATAGAGGAGTTTTCAAGTAGGAAATGGATTTTCATTCAGTTTCCTTTTCTGTGTGGATTGGAAAGGTGGTAGACAGATACATGATCTATTCTTTTCATTTCTTTATGCTTTTCTGATTTCAATAACTTGATACTCTTATTTGGGCTTGGATCATGCACAACAAATAGAGTAGCCCTTGTGAGTGTTATTATTTTTTCTTTCCCTGTTATTGCTGTACTTCATTGTTGTTTGCATTCGTTATTGTATATTGCATTATTATTACTATTATATCTATTCGTCCTGCAGGTATACTGTTAATACTCGAGCTACGAAAAACTCTACAAAATGGTCTTTAGCATGAAGAGTTGGGTGTGCTTTGTCATTGGTTGTTGGCACATTATCATACCATGGCCGTTCACGTTAATTTGTTCTCTTGCCGTACATGGATGCATCTTCTGATATCCTATAATTAAATTTTGGTAATGAACTGTCAACATTACCGGTTCGCTGCCACATGTCGTTTTCTTCTTTTTATTTTTTATTTTTTATTTTTAAATATTTAATTAACATTTTTTAAAATTATCAAAGTATATATTTTTTAATGATTCTAGTATTATGGATCTACTTATAAATTTTTTTTTTACCCTTTTTAATTTTTTTCTTTTTTAAAAAATATATAATAATATTTTTTAAAATTGTAAAAATGTATATTTTTATTTTTAAAAAAATATTTAATAACATTTTTAAAATTATATAAATTTATATTTTTAAAAAATTTATTTTTTTATGTGTGAGATTTACTTATACTAATTTTTTTAACTTTTTTTTTACAAAAATATTTAATAAAGATTTTTTTAAAATTTTTTTGGAGTCACTTGATGCTAATGATATGTAATTTTTTTGTTTTTTTTATATTTAATAAATAATTTTTTATATTTTATTTTTTATTAGGTTCACTTGATATCAATAGTATAATACATTTCAAGTCATTTACTTTTTTTTTTGGCATTGTCTTTATAATTTTTTTGTTATTTATTTTTTTTTAAAAAAAGGTTTAATATTTTAAAAAATTTTCTTTAATATGGATCTCACTTTATATGATTATTTAAATTAGATTTTTTAAAAATTTTTTTAGTTTTTTTATTTTTTTAAATTCATGATGTCAAGAAAAATTCATCCTTGCAAATATTGAATGGTAACTCAATTTTATTTTATTTATTTATTTTTTTTTTGCGTTTAATCTTCCCTCTTTTTTTTTTAGTTTTTTCTTTTTTCTAAAATAAGATCATTTTTGGAAAAAAAAATCGAATGTTTACATGTGATATTTTATATTTTATTGTTTTTAATTTTTTATTTATTATTTGATAAGTTAATTTAAAATATTAATATTTTAAACTTAATTAAGATATTCACATAGTATCTAATAAACTCTCTCTTTCCTTTTTTTTTTTTTTTTTTCCCTTTTTTATGTTTTTATGTTTTTTTATTAAATTAATTTTGGTATAAAAAAAAAAGGATAATGGAGATGTCTACATATCCCATATATTATTTTTTTCTCTCATTTTTTTGTACTTTTAATTAGATAAATTTTGTAATAAAATGTATTAATTAATAAAGATGTTAAAATAATATGTATCCACATGATATTAATCCATTCTAATTTGATAAGGGATGATTAAATAATATGCATCCAACTTATATTAATCCATTTTATTTTGATAAGGGGTAAATTTTTTTTAAAATTAAGATTGAGTTGAGACAAATTTTATCCCATTAAGACATACGGCATTAAGACAAAAGTGTATTTAATGTGTTTTATCCCATTTCATTTCAAGATATAAAAAAATATATTTTTTATTATTAATTTAATTATATATATGTATTATATTAATAAAATTATTTTTTAATCTTTTAAATTAAAAAAATTAATACTTTAAACTCAATGAGAGTACGGTACATTTTATGAACTCTTTTATTAATTTTATTAATTTTTAATTTTTAATAATTTCTTTTATTTTAGATTTTTATTTTTTAATTTGATATATTTTATGATAATAAAAGATTAATTTAGGTATCCATATGTCATTCTTGGTTTTTCTAATTTTTAATTTTTTTATTTGATAAATATTGAAAAAAAGTGAATAAAGATGGCAAAAAAAAAAAAAAAACCGGTAACATTTTTGTTTGATAAAAAATAGTATCATATGGATTTTAATCCATCTCCATTCGATATAGATTTTTTGTTGTAAAAAATCAATATCTAATCAAGCAAGTCTGTATCTTATAAAAAAGTGAAGATCAATCAAAAACGAAGTTAAGGTACTTTATTCCAAATCACTATGTAGTATATATAAAAATATATATTTAGAATTTCCAATCTTTTCTCAAATTTTCTTGATTCTCGACTCTTTTCATCAAAATTTTTGCTAAAATTCTGGACGATTATCACAGATTTCATAAAATTTCATCAGATCTTGCTATTTTCTTTAGCTTCAAAGGATTGATTGGGTTGTTTGAGATGAGTAAGAAGGATTTGCGATCTCTCTTGATTGTTACTGAAGAACTAAGTACTAAGCAGACGAGTGATGTGGTGGGTGAATATCTGACAGAACCGACTAAAGCAGAAGCTGCTACGAAGCAAAAGGTGACAGATTTTAAGGTCTTTGTTTGCAGCATCAGGAGATCAAGCCTTGGAGTATTATCTGCCATTGAAGACTGAAGGGGGGCAAACTATGAAACCATCGAATGATGTTTTTTAAGAAGGAATTCTCCAATGACAAAACTCCATTGTAGTTCAATTCATTAGGAGAATACCTAATTATAGCCTCTTCCAGAAAATGGTCAACATACTTTGGGGGAAGGAAGGTGAAGTAGAGATTAAGCATCTTGGGCATAATCTTTTTGTGATTCAATTTCCAAACTTTGATACAAGGAACTGGGTCCTTGAGCACGGTCTGTGGCACATCCAGAACAAACCATTGATAATCAGAAAATGGGAGCCAAGAATGCGTTCATTGGAATTTAACATCGAGAAATTGCCCGTCTGGGTTCATTTAGGTAATGTCCCACTCGAATTATATTCAAAAAAGGGGTTGAGTTACATTACTAGTGCATTAGGGACTCCTTTATATATGGATACAATCACTGCCAAGCAATAAAGATTGGTTTATGCCAAGATCTGTGTAGAGATGAGGGCAGCATTGGAAGTTCCAAGAACCATTGATATTGAATTGAGAGATGGATCTCTAGTTTTAGTTAAATTGGAAATACCATAGATGCCTCAAAAGTTCTCTCATTGTTGCATTTTTGGTCATTCTAATAAAACCTGTCCAAGTAAGCCAGTGATGGTTGCAACTAAGGTGTGGATACCTAAAGATAAGGCTAAAGCTACATTGTTGGAGAATAAAATGAATGAAGGAGATACATAACCCATCTATAATTTAAAAAAGGAGTGAAATAGAAGAGGTTAAGGTAACAGAACTATCTCTGCTACTAAGAATAACGACAAGGTAACAACCCAAAACCATTCCACTAAGGCTAATTTTGTGAACAGATTTGCTATATTAGAGTCCATAAAGGAATTAGATACTATAAGGCATGAAATTAGTGATTCTGAAGGAATAATGGATAGGATAATTCTTCATTGAGCAAAGAAGCCTAGAGTAGCAATTGTTGGGGTGGCAGCTTTGATGAAGGCTATCAAAAGCTAAAAGAAAGGACCAATTGACAAGGGAAAGAAGCAAGTAAAGGCAAGCATTTCTACCTTGAGAGGACATACTTCCAATTCTCCAATATGAATTGTATAGTATGGAACACTAGAGGATTTAACCGTCTTCTAAAAAGAAAAGATGTAACAAATAAAATACAAAGATTAAATATTGATTTGGTTTGTCTAATTAAAACAAGAGTCAAATAGCATCGGATGCACGCCATATTGGATAATAATTTTCATGGTTGGGGTATGTACCATAACTACTCAGAAGTATGCAATGGAAAGATTTGGATTTTGTGGAGACGACATGGTGAACCTTATTGATCAAAGTATTACCTGTAATATGTTCTTTGAAAGTCAAAAATTCTTTTTCTCTGCCATTTATGGGAGTAAAAATGGAGCTGAGAAGAAGAGGCTATGGTCACACTTGCTATCTTTAAGAGGGATAATTTTATATAGTCACTAGATCCTAGTTGGTGATTTCATTGTTATTGCATATCCTTCAGAGAGTTCAGATTTCAATGGCTCTCAAATAGCCAATTCAGAGATGAAAGAGTTACACGTAGCAATTGGGCCTCTGTTCACATGGACTATTCATCAGCAAGAAAGCCATGTAGTAAGAAAGTTGGATAGGGTATTAATAACTGACTCATGGCTCACTATATCCGCACAATCACAGGTGGAGTTCATTGCTCTTGAAGTATCAGACCATTATGCTCTACTGATAAAACTTAATATGGCTTGGTATTCCCCTCCCAAACCATTTGAGTTTTATAATTTCTAGACTAGGAACCAAGAGTTTAAGAACATAGTTGAAAACTCTTGGAAGCTACCAGTGATGGGAAACCCATTGTTTAAATTGCACAAAAAATTAAAAAGACTGAAGTTGGAGTTAAGAAAGTACAACAACTTGCACTATGAGGATGTAAAGCAAAGCTGCAAAAAAAAAAGAAAAAAGCTGAAGGTTGTACAGATAGAAATATTAACAACTATTCCAAGCATTAAAATGATTAAATTCGAAAGCCCCTTATCCACAGAGCTGAAGGAGTTAATAGAAGTTGAGGAGAGTTATTATAGGCAAAAGTCCAAGATAACGTGGATACAAGAAAGAGACCAAAACACAAGATTCTTTCACAAAATTGTTGCAGCCAAACAAAAAAGAAGCACGATAAGAGTACTTGTTGATGCTGAAAGGAACGAACTAGAAAAAGTTTTGCAAATTTTTAGGGAAGCAGTATCATTCTTCCAAAAAATGATTGGTACACCAGATAAGAGAGTTAAAGTTTGTTCACAAGAATTTTTTACTAAACTTCTTCAAGCTTCAATATCTTTTGAGGATCAAGATGCACTTAAAGGCCAGTGCTGAAAGAAGAGATCAAAATTGTTATGTTCTCTATGAACAGTGACAAAGATCCTAGTCCAGATGGATACACAACCCATTTCTTGAAGCAATCTTGGTCCATTGTTGGTGAGGATGTTACAAATGCTATTTTGCACTTATTTCAAACTGGACACATACTTTCTGCATTTAACTCAACCATTATTACCTTAATTCCAAAGTGTGCAAATCCAAGTAGGATTAGAGATTACAGGCCCATATCATATTATACTATTATTTATAAGTGCATTACCAGGATTTTGGCAAATAGGCTTTAAAATATCCTGCCAAATATCATAAGCAAAAGTCAAAATGCTTTCATAAAAGGGAAAAGCATCACAGATAATGTGCTTATGGCATAATAGACGGTAAGGAGGTATGGTAGAATCACATTATCCCAAGGTGTGCTATAAAGAATGATTTACAAAAAGCTTTTGATACATTGGATTGCCTTCCAAATTTATAGGTTGGATTAACAATTGTATTACAACCCTAATGTTTTCTATATCACTTAATGGAAGATTAGTGGGCTATTTTTAAGGAGCTAGAGGAATAAGATAAAGGGATCTACTCTTCCCATATCAATTTGCTTTAGCAATGAATGTGTTGTCAAGAATGCTAGATGAAGCTACCAAGTTTGGAGTGTTTACCTATCATCCCAAGTGCAAGAAGATCAAACTGACACATTTATATTTTGAGGATGATTTGTTGATTTTTACAAAAGGATGAAAAAATTCAATCATTGGTGTCAATGAGGCTATACAAGCTTTCTACTTATTCTCATAACTACAACTTAATTGCAAAAAGAGTGAGATATATGTTACAAGAATAGATAGCGAAGAGATCCAATCAATTCAACAAGCCACAGATTCAAAGTAGGCTTACTCTCTATTAGATACTTAAGAGTCCCACTAGTCACCAGAAGACTCACTGCAAAAGATTATGCTTTATTGCTTGAGAAGATCACAACTAGGATTAAAAAATGGACTAGTAATCACTTATATTATGCTAGAAGACTACAGCTAATCCAGTCAGTACTCTTCAGCTTACACAATTATTGGTACAGACACTTTATATTGCCTAAGCATGTGTTAAAAAAGATTAATAAGCTATGCTCTAGCTTCCTTTGGAAAGGCTAAGAGGGGATTTCTAGAAGAGCTAAAGTCAGTTGGGAAGCTATTTGCCACCCTAAGTCTGAAGGAGGGTTGGGTATCAAAGACACATTAACTTGGAACAAGGCATGCATGATGAGGAATATTTGGTCTATTTTCTCACTATATAGATAACTTGGATTGAAGCCAATGTCTTGAAAGGTAGAAATCTATAGCAAGTTACACCATAGCAGGGTAACAATTGGAGCTAAAGGAAACTACTTCAACTCCGGACTACCGCACACCAATTCATCAAACAAGAAAATGGTATTAAGGTGTGGCCTGTCCCCAGCAATGGCTATTCTATTGCAATAGTTTGGAATGAGATAAGGTCTAAGCAAAGGAAGGTTGAGTGGCACAAACTAATTTAGTTTCAATATCATATCCTAAATCACTCAATGATTACAAGGATGACTATATTAAACAGGTTTCCAACAAAAGATAGATTGAGGAATTAAAGAGTGGAAGTGGATGAAAGGTGCTGCCTATGTCAACATGGAAAGAAATCTAAGGACCACCTATTTTTGGCTGTGAATATGCAAAAATGGTGTGGAGAATGATATTACAATCATGCAAGATTGATAGAGTAGCCAGGGAATGGACTGAAGAATTGAAATGGGCAATGACAAAGATGAAAGGTAAGGCATTGATATTAGTAGTATTACGTATTGCTTGGAATGCTCATATATATCATATATGGAGAGAAAAGAACTACAAATTATTCAAGAATAAAGAAGGAATAGAAGAACAAGTGTATGAACAGATTAAAGAAGTTGTCAGGACTTAATTACATGGATTGCATTCAATTGCTGCTGATTCAGTCAATAAGATTTTGTGTGATGCTTGGCATATCAAAAAAGCTTTATTGCATAATAGTTAGAATACGATTTGATTATATATCTAGAGTATATGATTGTAGCAATTTATTGCTTATTTGGATAAATAAAATACAACTTATCCAAAAATATATATTTTATTATCTATTTAATTTTATATAAATTTTATAAGAAAATAATGTTAATTGAGGTGTCCAATTAACACCTCTTTGTTTGTTTTCTTTCATATATTTTTAATTTTTTTATTTGAATTAATTTTATAATAAAATGAGTTGATTGATAGGGATGACAAAATAATTAATATGTGATAAGTTTTTATTTATCTCAATTTGATATGAATGTTTTTATACCTTTTAGTTTTTTAAGTTTCTATCTGTTCAATTTGATAAAACAATTGGTATTGAATAAATTCAATATAAAAGATTAATTTAAGTATTTATGTGTCACCTTTATTTAATTTAATTTTTTTTACCTTTTGCTTTTTCTTTTACTTTTTTTAAAAATTATGTATACTTTAAAAAAATAAATATAAATAACAAAAAAAAAAAGCGACAACACACGAACACTCACCTACATTATATAAAGCTAGTGAAGCAGGTAAGGATCCATTGGAGTTCTACTTATGTGTACGTTTCTTCAATTTATCCCCTTAATTTCAACGACGCCTCACACACACACTCTCTCTCATTGTGTATGAGCATGCATGCATGCATGCATGTCTGCTCATGTGAATTTTGATCATGCACTCATGCTAGACAAATGCTTAAGGTCTTGTTTCATTAGCATCGGTAAATCCTTATTTTATATTATTAAAATTGTAAATTAAATATCAAAATTTTTAATTTTAATTTGCAAGGGTGTCGTTCCCTCGAGAACTCTTAAAAACACAACAGTTGATGTTAGATCTATTGATGTCCATGTTAGGCCATATGCATTGTCCCGCCTTTTCCGGGTAATTTAGGCCTAGTTTTCATTAAAAGTGTAAATGATATATTAATACTCATAAGTTACTTAAGTTCGATTTGAATAAAATTTGAATTCAATTCGATTATTATCGAGTCGAGCTCGAGTTCGAGTAATTCAACTCATCGATCGAATCGAGTTTGAGTATTCTTATATTCAGCTCGAGTAGCTCGTGAGCTTAATCGAACTTTTATATTTAAATTTTTTTATTATTTTAATTAATAAAATATCTCGAATTCGAGCTCAAACTCGAGCACAAATAATCGAGCTCTTATCGAATATAAAAATCGAGCTGAGAATGTCACGAACCTAAGGGGGAGTCCTGAATCTCACATCAAACATAATAGAGATGCCTTTTGAAGGACAAAATCGTGAGGTCAAGGGAGGTCAGAACGGACAATACCTCACAAGGATGTGAACCGTGACGGAAAGCTGATCTGAAATGCCGGAAGGGTGAATACTCGGATCCCGAAACTGCACGAATTCGAAGCTTAAATCTCGACTCGTGACAAAAGACTTAATCTTCATACATACCTCGCCATTTATTTTTCCTAACAATAATAATAATAGTACCTGTAATATATTACTAATGTGTTATAAATGATTAAATTATAATTTTAAAAATTAAAAAATTAAATATATATTTTTTAATTTTCTCCCCGTAATAATTATTCACTGGGGCTTAACCCCTTTATCACTCCAACAATCGTATTAGCGGTTGATTCGGTCAGTAAATTGACCGTTTTAATAATTAATTACTATATATAAAGGTGGCAAAAGTGGGGTTGGGATTTGGATATTTCTGGGTTTAGGTTCCGTGAAGTTCAGGTAATTTGAAGCCTCAATTATTTTGAGTTGGAATATTTCTGAGTCTTGGTTGAATTCAAATTTCATATGTTACGTTAGAACTTGAAAACAGATCCACTTTTTTACGTTTTGAATTTAGTTTTTAAAAATTCAAGATCAAACCTAAAAAAAAAAAAAAAAAAAAATTATAAATATTTTTTAAAAAATAAAAATTAATAAAAAAATTTTAATTTTTTAAGATAATTATTTTAAATTTTAATTATTTTAAAATTAAATTAAATTAAATTTTATAAAATAAAAAAACAAATTTTTTTAATATTTTTTATTTACAAAATTCAAAATTAAGATTTTATTTTTAAAAATTTTTTGTCAGTACGACTGATAGACGTTGGTAAATAGATCCAATTTATTCAAGCAAAGAAGTAGATGACAGGCTATCAAGGTTGACTTTGAAAGAAGATGAGGTTTCGTGGTGTCAACACCACGTGGTCCCACTTTCTCAACTCCCCCAAATCCACTTCCTATTATTTTTTGGCAATTAATTTTCGATGGCTTTGGATTCGAAAGAAACTTGCCCATGAAGTTTTTAAATTTTATAAAAGAGATTAAAATTTGTGATATATATTTTTTAGATTTATTTGAAAATTAAAATAAATTAAAAATAAAAATGAAATATTTATTAGTTTTTTAATATTATTTATGAAATTAAAAATTTATATTAATAATATATTAAATATTAAACTCATGAATTTAATCTCATATATAATAATTGTAGTGTTTTTAATATAAAAAATTATAATTTGATATTATATAAGATTTATAAAAAATATATGAATTTGATTTAATATATCACTTATAATTATTATAATAAATTTAATCAATTAAAATTTAATGTATTTTAAAATCTACAAAAAAATTATATAAAATTCATATTTTTTAAACGATTAATTCCTATATATAAAATAATTTCTCATTAATAAATAATAGTAAATTAAAAAAAAAAAAAAAAAAAAACTTCAAAACAACTTTCTCATTGCTGGTAATTTGCCTATTGTCTGGTGTCATAGTGATATTCCCCTTCAAATTCCATAAAAAGTTCAAAATAAAATAAAATAAAAAACGCTGGTGTTCAACTCCCAAACGTCTCCTCTTCATCGACCCAAGTAAATGTGATTTGTCTTTTGTTCAAGCCTAGTATAATGCCAGGTCTAAAATGGCCTACAATAATAAAGCTGACGGTCAAATTTTGTACTACTACTATTTCATTTATCTATAAAAAAAAAATGAACCCAAAGCTCCAATTCTAAAGCTAAAGCTGCTACCGTTGCTGCTTCGAGACTTTGAGCTAGGAGAGTAGAGGAGAAAAAGAATGGTTATGGAGGAAACTGAGAAGCCAATAGAGGTTAGAGCTATGGAAGCTTTGGGAAAAGGCTTTGATGTAAGTGGGGATTTCAGGTTGAAATTCGCTAAAGGAACAAGGTTGGTGGTGCTTGATGAAACCAATGAAAGAGACATTGTATTGCCAGGTGCTTTTACTATCAAAGGTGTTTCTCCAGATATTCGTCTTGATAAAGGCGATCGTATTCGGTTCAAATCTGATGTTCTTGAATTCAATCAGGTTTTTTTTTTCTTTTCTTTTCCAATTTATTTCCTTCTGTTTTCTTTATATGGTAAAGCATATGGGGCTTAATTGTTCTGTTTTCTTTTCCAATTCAGAAAATTTTCTCAAACTTGATTTGTATCAGTTTTCTGATTAACCGATGAATTAGTTTTGTTGTTTTTCATGGTTCTTGGTGTTGGGTCAATAAGAAACAGCTAATAGCGTTGTAATAGAGCCCACTTGTATAAATATACACTGTCATAAGGTTGCCGAAATTTGCGGGATTGAAAAATTATAGGACTTTGACTAGGGAAATGCTAATGACTGCCTGAATCTTTAACTAGTATGGTTTGCAAAGGTGCTTTCTATAGATAAAATTATCCTTTGTATTTAAAGTCTATATTTTTAACTAGTTTGTTTTGGCAAGAAGGTGTATATTTTTATGAAACCGGAGTTTAGCTCATTTGGCTCATGCAGCTACCAGTAAAAGCGGCATTAGAGTTTGAATCCCGTCCATTATTCCCAAGTTGCCTCGTCCTATGAACCAAAAGAAAGTATGTAATTTTAAAATAGAGCCATACTCAGCATATGCAACTCCTTTCATTATCTTCAGCTGTGGCTTCTTCTTGAAAAAATTAGAGCCATGCCTTTTGTTTTCAGGCATTGGATATCAAAGTTTTGTTTGGTTAATGAACCTTGAAAAAGGTTGGGGTGAAAAGTTACCTTTATGTCACATGTGGATAGACGTGTTTATTCTATACTTTTGACTGAGGCTGCCTTTTATGCAACTTCATATGCTACACGTGAAGGTGGGAAGAGGCCAATTGAATTCATGGAACTTTCACTATTTGAAGCTTCTCTTCTTCCTCCGGGGCCTGGGCTGTGTTTGACATCAATAAAAAAAAAAAGTAGAGATACTGAAGGATGGATTTCTATGATTGCATTTTATGTGGTATAAATGGTTTTCCCCTGTCTTGTTTTCTCTACACTCTGCCATAAAAAAAAAAAAAAAAAAAAAAACCAACATGCTTAGGAATTTAAGAGCATGTTTTGAGATAACTCAACTTTTTGAAAGTCTGGAGCTCGGTCAAGCGTTCATCCGTAGTTATTCTCTGTTACTGGTGTCAATGATGATAAGAAACAATTTGTTTCGACTTTTTATCCTTATTTTTATGTGATGATTCATAATTTAAGTAATAATCAAGGTTTGGATTTCAGTAGAGTTGGGATAAGATTTCTCTACCTGATTCAGGTTTTCAATAGTATTTTTCCTTAGAGCTTAAAGTGAATCCTATTTAAAAAAGATGGGAATAATTTTCTCTTTGATGTCAATTATGATTTACGCATTTGAATATATTCCTACCTACTTCACTAAAATCGAATGAGAATAGAAAAGGATCCGAGGTCACAGACCACTTGCTAGTTATTAGAGGTTATGTGAAAGCATCTTTCCGTGAATGGAGTTCACAAGAAAAGAGTTGGCCTTGAGTTAAGGAAAATTAATGGACTCCTATGGGAAAAACAAAGAAAAGTCAGAGATTGAATTACTTATAGTGTAAGAGGAAAAGTGTAGCATATAGCATGATTCCCTTTGATTGTTTACATTAGTTTATTTATTTAAGAGTTCTCAATCTGCTAGTAATGTTGTTTATTTTTTGTCAAATTTTCTTCTTAAACTGTTTGGTTTGCAATAAATAGATATTAAAAAGTTAACTTAAAACATGAAGTGAACCTCAATTTCAGAAATAGAAATTAACTGCATTCATGAGTTACTAACATCTGCTCCATGATCTAGGAACTTTGCTAATTGATAATAATGGCTGATATTAGTCAGATAGCAACTGTCTAATTTTGTAAAAACTCTTTGACAAATATACTTAAAATCCTAGTGACAAAATATCTTGGAGGGGTTTCTACCAAAACCTTAATGATGAAGAACATGAAAACAAAAAACAAAAAGGCAAGATTCAATGTAAAAAGTATCTAGGATTATGCACTCTGTTCAATGCTGTACTCAATAAGAGCCTTATATAGGTTTGAATAAATTTATTTGGTGCCGTATTGATGTTGTACCTTATCTTTGCTCCCAAATCTTCCTTCTCTTGCAGATGTCTGAGTTACTTAATCAGAAGTCTTCAGTACAAGGAAAAGTTCCTTCAGGCTATCTTAACAGTATTTTTGATTTGACTGGAGACTGGCTTCATGACGCTACAGACACCAAAAATCTTGCTTTTGATGGTTACTTTATTTCATTGTATCATTTACACCTTACAGCATCTCCACTTGTACTAAATGACCGAGTAAAGAAGTCCGTTCCAACTCACTGGGATCCGGCAGCATTGTCTAGGTAGCTTTTCAATATATTATTTTGTGCAATTTCTTGACATTAAGAATTATTATATATAAATGATAGATCATATGAATTATGTGGAGGCTGTTTGCAAGAATAAAGAAATATTAAGAAATAATACCATCAATTGTATGTTAGAGACTCTTGCCTATGATCAGGGAAATATATACTTGTTATGCTGAATTAAATGTGGTTCTCAACTGATTAGGTTGATCATGTGCCTGTATGCTAGAAAAAAATAACATAACTAGTTATACATGAGATGATGAAGCTGTAATACTCGTTTTCAGCTTTCTTGTGCAATGCATTTTGGTTTGTTAAATGTTACTTTCTCACCATTTTGCTCTCGCAGTAGTAGCATCCTTGTGCAATGTATATTAAACATGCTGTCGCTCTATCATCTTCCACATATAACCAATTGTGACATAATTGTGCTTCCATTGCAAATATCTGACTTACCTAATAATACAAGGAAAAGTTACTTGAGTCCATCTTAATGTTATAAAATTGCTGTTATTATTGTCAATAATTATAGTATAATATGCTCTCTTTCTGTATTACAACATGCAGATTTCTAACATCTTGGCCTATAAATTTTGTTTAAATCCCCATTTAGATATCCTGACATAGTTGATTATAGTGAAAAAGTCAGTTTATTCATGTGAACTTTTCTGGTTTTAGCACACTGGACAAATAGTAAATAAGTTTTTAGGAAAGACACTGGATAAAGATTTTGATATTTGAAGGCTTCTATTCTATTTTTATGGATTATCAGTTACATTCTATGAACCACCCTTTACATTTTTTGTGAAGTTATCAGATCTTTTTACTCTTAATTATAGTTGTTTTTAAGTCAATTTTGATAGTTTCATATTTTGGATCTCAAGCACATATAAAGATAGGATTGGTAGAATGTAGCTTATTTAATTTAATAGAGAACAGGTTTATAGGAATATCAGCAGCATTTTGCTTTTTGGGAGTGTGTGAAGCATTTGGGAAGTTTAATGTTTGAAGCCTAGATCTCCTCATTTCCTCTTGCAGTTCCAGTTTCGTTTAGGTTAAAGATGAACCTTAAATCTTTCAGTTTGATTACTTGTTTACAATACTCTAACCAATCTCAGATCAAAGTAACCATCGACCTGCAACCTTAACATTAATTAACAGTTCACAATTGCTGTTCACAGTTACCAGTACAGCCCCAAAATAGCTTTCTAAATCCTTGATTTCTTCATTCAATAATAGTTTCCCATCTCCTGCACATCCACTTGCACTCTTTGCAACCACCCCTATCTGTCCTATGTGATTTATATATTTAGTGATCTTTATCTGTTTATTTATTTTATTCTTTTTGAGCCAGGGTAGTGTTCTTATACATGCATCATTTTATATATATATATATATATATATATATGTCTGCATGTTTGTATGTAAGGATTCACCCTATCACCTATTTTCCATTGGAAAATGATATTTGTAACCAAAATTTTAATAACAAACCTCTTCAGCAATCCTGTGTATATATAGAATTTCCCACTAAGTTTTCTGTCATAGAGTTGTGTCCGTGATGTATCTAAGTTGGTGAAATTCAGATGGTGGGAAAAAACAAGAATCATTTTGGTTACTTGGCATCTATTAATATCATTATTATTGGTTTCACAAGGTACATATCCTAATAAATTGTATTAGTCAGGTTCATCCAGACATATGGGACACACATAATAGTTGGCATGGCTGTCGGAGGTCAAGATTTAATATGTGTCAGACAGAACTCTTCCTCTACAATTCCTCCTTCTGAGCTCAGAGGGTATTTGGAGGACCTTGGAGATGTTATGTTTTCAGATGGGAAAAGCCCTTCATTACTACAGAGAAAAACAAGAGATGGCAAACAAAAAGTATTAGCACTGCATTCAACTTTAAGGGCACTTTTTTTGGTAAACACCGATATTGTTTCTAAATGCCATTTATTTATGTAGGTGCCGGAGGTCTTTCACCGCATTTTGCAGTCAAACAACTTGCAGTTGGCCAGCATTTCAGAAACATCAAGCAAAGATGTGAGTCAGGAACTAGAGTTTTACTCTGTGAATTTTTGTATAAAAATAATCATTTCAATCCATGAATTATTTATTTTCCTTTTTTTCAACTTCAATAGGGACTCACTGTCATTTGTTCAAAAAGAGGAGGAAATGTGTTCTTGCATAGTCACTCCAACTGGCTTCAGACAGTTCCTGCTAAACCAGAAGCAATTTTGTTCAAGTTTGTACCAATTACTTCTCTTCTGACTGGGATCCCAGGAAGTGGGTATCTTAGTCATGCGATCAACTCGTACCTTCGTTGTAAGTATTGCAGTGCCCGACTAATGGAGATAACTTCATTTCGGGGATTATGCTTCAAATATGATTTCAAAGATGATCAAAATCCTTCTCTAGTAAAAAATATGAGCAAATATCTTGGCTAGGGTAGTTTGGAGTTTAGGCTAGGATATCTTTATAGGTTTTTGGTTGGAAAGAAAAAAAAATAATGAAACTCTAAAAAATCTGGATCTGTTTAAAATTCTTAGTTCTAAATTAGTATTAAAAATTATTGAAAAAGACAGAATTATGTGTTCAAAATCAATTGAAGCACTTCTTTAACTGCCTTTGTTTGCACTCAATTATATTAGTGATTTTGAAGTTTGAGGTACATATGGATGGTGATAAAGGGCTTCAATATCCAAGGGATTCTTTTTGATTGCCATGGAAGCAATTTCATTTTTCAACTTGATTTTAATCTGTTTCCTTTTGATTTTATTTTATTTTTTATATCATTTGGCTATCGAAAGCCACATGGAAATTAGAGGGAGGGATTTACCCTCTGTTGTGTTCCCACTGGAAAAAATATTCCACATATGACATATCCCATTGTCTGAAGCTGAATCTGGCATGTTATCGCTGTCAAGAAATTAGCTGGAAAACATGAATGTTTTTATCAGCTGAGGGAACGTGAAACATTTGGCCTGAGTACTGGAGTGTTGGAAGGCTTTAACCTTGTTATTCTTTTCAACAATAATTATACAACTAATTTGTTTCTATTTTTCTAGTTTATGTGATAGAGATGTTCTTTTAACCCACTGAATCTGTATGTAGACAAGCCTGTTCCAGAGGATTTACGGTATTTCTTGGAGTTTCAAGTTCCGCGACAATGGGCACCTATGTTCTGTGAGCTGTCACTTAGGCATCAAAGGAAAAAAGCTTCTTGCCCTTCCCTGCAATTCGCTTTCATGGGTCCTAAGATACACATTAACTCTATGCAGGTAGTCAAACAGCACATAAAGCATTATTTTATAGGAATCGGCTTCTCAGTTTTATTTGTTTTGCATTATCATATATAATCTTGTGACCTGCATTATTATGTTTTTATTTTCATACAAAAACAGAAGACTCATAAGAGCCAAAATGTGTAATTCCTGAAGTCAATGGGGAGATTACACCAATGCTTACCTTGTATGCTCTTCTTGTAAGCAATTCACTAGATAATTTAAAATCTTAAATAAAATTCCATGTGCAGCATGATAGCGTAGAGACCTAAAAGTAAGATTAATATCACTGCATCAGTTTTGCTTGAAATCATCATGAGTGTGGCAAGCATGACTTCTACAATACTACCAACATTGGTGAGGTTCTAGGAGGTTTGATGTAGTCACCATATTATAATTAAAATGCCAGTTTTCTATTGTCAAAATGTGTGGTAGAAAGTGGAGTTGAGCTACTACTTTTGGAAGTCGAAGTTGCATTGAGTATTTTATTGGTAATAACATTACAGCTTTACTGTTAAAAATGTAATTTTTTCATGGTCAAATTGAGTGGCAGTGGTAGTGTGGTAGAAAATGGAGTTTGAGTTACCACTTCAGGAAGTGGACATTGACTTTGAATTGAATTTTTTATCGACGGCAACTAGCAACAAACACAACTACACTATTCTTGAGGATAAAAAATGAGTTAAAAATCTTTTAAATATGAACTTTGTGACATGGCTTTCCAAGAGTCTGTCTAACATATTTGTCTGCAGTTTTTTACCTCTCTATTCCATCTATGCATATATGTTGTTTAAATTGCTAGATCCTCAGAGTTGCCGCATCTGCTCATATATCAGAGTTCATCTTTTAGTTTGTTGAGATATTTTGCAGCTATGTTTCATCCTATTCTCGTTCTTACTATAAAGTATGTTGAAATATTCTGTACAATTTCAGGTTTCAAGTGATAAAAAACCGGTGGTTGGCCTCCGCTTGTACTTAGAAGGAAAGAAATGCAACCGATTGGCGTTACATGTGCAGCATCTCTCAAGTCATCCAAAAATAATGACATTCACATCAGGCAGACCATGCCAATGGCGAGGTTCAGATGACTATAACTCCAGTGATCAATTTTTAGAGCCAGTCAGGTGGAAGAGATACTCCAGTGTGTGCACATCTGTTGTCAAGCATGATCCTAACTGGTTGCAAGAAGTTTCAGGTGGTGTTTTTATCGTCACTGGTGCACAGCTCCTTACCAAAGGGAATTGGCCGAAGACGGTTTTGCATCTCCGTCTGCTTTACACGCACATACCCAACTGCACAATCCGGAAGACAGGGTGGGCAGCTGCACCTGAAACTTCTCGTAAGGCCAGTTTCCTCGCCAATCTAAGCACCACTTTCACGTTCACTCAACGGACGGTCACTGGACAACAAAAGCAGGCTCCAACCGCACTTAATTCAGGTGTGTATCCTGATGGTCCACCCACACCAATTCACTCCAAAAAACTGCTAAAATATTTAGATGTATCTGAGGTCGTGCGCGGTCCACATGATGCTCCAGGACATTGGTTGGTAACTGCAGCTAAGCTAGTCAATGAGGGTGGTAAGATTAGCTTGCAAGTGAAGTTTGCATTGTTGGACTATCCATGAATTTCAGCTTCTTTTGTACATACAGAGTGAGATTGAGAGAAAAAGAGTTGAATTGATTTTTCTTACCCATCCAACCACCTCAGCTGCACCCTAGGTCGCAAATTGAGCTTAGCCATTGTTTTGTTTGTTTTTCTGTTTCTTTTTTCAAATTTTTGAACAGAAGAGACCATTAACTTCTTTCTGAGAGTTCCATTTTGTAACAGAGAACAAATTTATAGAAGCCTTACCATTATTTTGTACAGATGAATTTTCCTTTTTTTTTTTTTGCATTAATTTAAGGTTACACAAATAGGAGGGTAATCCACTTTCATTTTATAAAATTTTTTATAAAATTTTCCCTGTATGTTTCAAGATTTGAATTTAAAACTTCCGAATTGGATTTTCAAGTTCTGATAATTAAAATGTCCCTTTGAGGATGCATGGAGGAAGTTAATTACACAAAAATTTATGTTAGTAGTCATTTATATTAAATACTTATAAACCAATCTAATATCTCTCAGTTTAACTCAATCAAGATTAAATTTAAAATTTAATTCAATCAGTTAATATAATTTAACTCAATCACAATTGAATTTAGAATTTAATTCAATTCATGTAATTACCTTTAAAAGCTGACATCAACATGACAATTTTAAAGTATAAGAATTTACAAATTTATTGGACTCAGATCAAGTGTCTAAATGTGCAGTAGAAAAGATGATGGTTCCCTCTTTGATCTCAAATCTGATGACATTTCGGCTCCTCAATTGCAAACATTTTCCAATTCCAATAGTTCATATTATAATTTTCAAGAAACTAGCATTGAGATTTCCACCATTGGATAGTGCTCCGCTGATTTACTTGCGTCTAATCTGACAGGCAAAGCAATGAGCTGAAAGCTCAGAAACAACCCTTCCCGTCTTCAAATGATAGAACATGAATTACTTAAAAATATTTTTTTTAATACTTGAAGCTATCAAGATTTGAATCCTGATTATTGAAACTAAGAGTCCAGGCAGCTGTTAGCATACTTAAACATATCCATCCCTTGTCTTTTGGCCTCCATGTATGTATGTTATAATCAATGACTTGTGATTATGAAATCTATGCCGGATATGTGAATATAGTTAGCATAAAACTCCATCTATACTGATTGAATATGAAATAATGCTAGCATTGCTTAAGATCAAAAGTGCATAATTTCCATGTGGATGACAATAATATAAAAGATTGCACACCTGATAGGATAGAAGCCATTACTGGGGTTGAGGGCGTGTCTGAACCACATAAATATCTTTTCCGAGAACACATCCTTCCACATCCTGTGGGCAGCCAAACTTCCGCTCCAGGAAAAACCCAACAGCACATAGTCGCTGACTTAGCTGATGACGGAATATAGGATCAACTGTTAATGGTTTTTTGCTGTAGTCTACAGTCAACCGGATTACTTCCCCATCAGCAGGACCTGAACTTGATACCACCATCTCCTCACTGAAATTTGCAAATGCTAGTGTTCTCACTAGCCCATCAAACTTCCCAGAAGATACACGCCAGGGCGTGCCCCTAGTTCCTGATGCGAGGGTTTCGCCAAGCCCTGGTGCAATCTCAGCCTCAACATAGTTATGATCATGATCTGTTGGGCTGAGTGTGTGGAGTACAAATGAGAGATCAGGTGAAAGCATTTCTTGAACCAGAATTGCCATTGTAGCATCTTTCTGGGACACACCAGCAGCTCGACGACTTAGTACAGCTCTTCGGGTATAGAGTGAGGCCCATACTTTGCTAACAGCACCAGTGAAAACTGTTGGATTTGAAGGATTGACATTCGGGATTGATTCATAAAGTCCAGCAGCTGACATCCCAGCCAAATCCTCAACATTTGCACTTGAACGAACAATTAATCGTACATTGCCTGGAAATACTCTCATTATACTATCAATGACGTCTTTTGGGGTCTCTAGGGAAGAGATCAGTTGCTGGAGTTGGTGGCATAGTTTGTCAAGCTCACCATCCTCCAGTCCGGCTGTTTCTATCTTTTCTAGAAGAGACAAGAATGTTTCGGTGGATTTATTTTGTTCTAAAGCCAATTCCATGGAGCCAAAAGGTATAACTACTCCAGCAGGAACATGAAATGAAGCTGGCACCCCTTTGTCACTGTAGACTGCCATACAGAAACAAAAAGAAAAAAAAAAAGGAAAATAAATTAGGCAAAATGACTATATATGAATGTAAAATTTAAAAGATAAAAGATTAATCAAAGTTCATACAACAAATACAAAATGAATTTGTTTAGAAAATAAAATATCTTTGTATAATACTTCATTAGAATCTATCATTTACCATAAGAAAATGATCTTGTTGAACATTATTCACATAGAATACGTCTTATGACCAAAGACTCTTTTTGGTGGTGGAGGTAACAGGGGGTAGATGGTGAAGGGGCAATGCCAAGAAAAAAAATATTACCCTTATCAGAAACTACTGCCAGGGAAGCTAAGCGGCCACAAGCAGCTGCCTTTGCTCCTGAAGTTAGTGCATCTGCATCAGCAAGCAGTAAAATTCCTGAAGAACTACCCTGTACGAAAAAAGAAAAACCATTATCAGTTTGATTAATAACATCAAAAATAATTGCGAGATTGCTAGTTTCTTCCAATTTAAGATGGCAGAGAGCAAAACTTGCCTTCTTGGAGTAAGGGGCTTTAACAGCCAACCCAGATGAATCATCAGGTTCACGCACTTCAACAGCAGGTGAACCATTAGTTGAAACATTCTTCACAACAGAATCAGCATCATGTTTATCTAAAGAAGATGGACTTATGTTCACTCCACTTGGCGATGCTTCCAGTCTGCAAGATTTTACAGGAACAAGAAGCAAACAAAATAAACTATTTAAGTATCAGACTCAATGGTAAATGGAGCTAACTTTCATAGGTGATTGATTAGACCAAAACTAGATTATACAGTGGAGAGGTTCAGAAACAACCTCACATATTTTCCTGCAAGCTTTTTTATATCAGAAACATTTTCTTCATCTTCACATGTAACAAAGACAACCTTTTCCTGCACAAAAGGGCAAGTAATTTGTTAGTCTCTATCAAAGTACTTTATCATGTTTCTACACAAATATTAAAATAAATTTAAAGTCATAAGAGAGAAAGAACTTGCCTGTCGAGCCCTAACACCAAGATGAGATAAGTGAGGCAGCTCCTGCAAAAGTACAACCCCTGCGATATTAGATCCAGCTGCTGTTACCTGCAAAATATATCAAATGAGACTAAATGACCACTTTGCTTGTACACAAGAAAATGACAAACAATATACAACGATAAATAGAAATAGTGTATTAAGAACTATCCCAAACCTCCTCATCTCCATCAGCTTTATTGACCACAAGAATAACAGGTCCTTCCAAGGATGATGGCAGTGATCCAGGGACAATGTTCTTAACCTAAAGAAAAACTAATTAGGCATCACATGCTCACAAATTTGCAGAGGTACACATATAAATGACGGGATTGAGTTTCGAATATATTTATTGGAACTACTATAGTTGATATCATATTATCAGATTACAAACTTAAAAACTTCAGATAATGTTGATAGTCTTACTATAGGTTTATGAAACCAAAAGAAAGAATAGACTTGCACTTGCCGGCTGCAAGTTCTAAACTTATTCTAGGATATAATGTAATGTAACAGTGATAAGACCAATAGCATATAAAACATAGAGATGAAGGTGGAATTGTGGAAGTTGTCATTTGTAAGATGAGGTTATACACCATACCCCTCAATAATATAAGTCAATAATAGCAAACAATTTTATTTTATTTTTCAAAGATGCAGAGTTAAACCTCAACGAGGGTAAAAGCATATGAAATGAACAGATGGATATAAACAAGTGTTCAGATATATGGAAACAAGAAAATAAACCTTCTTCAAAAGCAACCAGTTGGCCATGGTTTTCTTAGCCTGAATTTTCATATAAAATCTTTTTCTTTGGGTCAAGGCCGGCTGTGGGGGCTGGGGTTGGCAGGTTGAGGGAAGGTTTTATTCCACCTGATTATTTGGTACAAGCTTTTATCTTAATTCCTGGATTCTTAATAGAGGCCTTTATGTGGATCAGAATGGTGCAATTTGAGGAGTTTTATGCAACATTTTCTTGTGAATTGAATTTGATCCTTTTCCATTTTTGGTTGAGTGCAGGTTGTGCCAGTGGTTATTTACCTGGAGGAGGCTTGTGGAAAAATCTAGTAACTGAAGTAGAAAAAGTCCAATTGGGTAGCAATCACAAAAAGAATTTTTAAAATCCTAGAATTGTGAATTATTTACATTTATTAAATTCTGCATCCACGATCTAAATTAACAGTCAAGTCATTATCATATAAAATGTCCCTTTGGCCAAAAGAAAAAAATACAATTATAGGACCTTATTGCTATATGCTGACACAATAAAAAATCAATGTTGCACCAAAATCAACTCTAATTCAACTTAAAATAACTGGACATCACTGTTCTATCAGTTCTCTATTTTTAGAATTAGATATATGATTTTTAACATCCAGTAAGAATTTTTCAGATAGCAGTTAAATTTTGAGTGCAACTATCACTGAAATAGTTGCAATTAGGACAATGATGTACACAGAGTCTTATTAACTACCTTATTTTCAGCAACCAAAAACATACCTAGGATCTACTTCCTAATGTATGGGCTCATTGACAGTGACACTGTGTTTATGGATTCAGAAGTAAGTAATGGAAGAGAGAGACTAAGTGTAAACATTGCTATCCTTGTAATGAAATGCAGTCGTTTAAGTGATTGAGGTACCTGAACCAATGTTCCGGAAACCACCCCTGGAACAAGGACATCCCAACCCTGAGAATGCAATGCTGTTCGCACAGCTTTCAGAAGAAGAGTACATAGTTTTGAAACCTGAAAAATTACTCTACAAATGAAGTTTTCCAGTTAGGATAATAAAAAAAAGTAAAAAATGTCCACTAATATAATTTTTTGGTCTACAGTTTTAAATAGCAAAATCACAAACTTAAGGAGCATAACATTCTTTGGAAATTTATCAGAAAGGTAAGTGTCACCATACCCAGCCCGAATCTCAGCTTCAGCATATGTCCTTACACTGTTTTCTGGAATTCCAAGAGCTTTACCAAGCATCTGCAAGAGTGAAGAAATAATTTCCATTTAGCATTCCACTTACTTCATTTATAAATTTTATAGTAAAATACTTATAATATGAAGATGTATCAGTTGGAGGTTGAAACATCCAGGAAGAAAACTATCAGTACATTGAATATTGCACA